CGTGGGGTTATGAGAGGAGCTTTGCAAAAATATTTATAATGCAGACAGCTGTAAGCAGTTATCAGCAGATATATCTGAAAAGCGGCGCCGATCAGGGGAAAGCAGATGGGACGGTACAGAGCTGTTCATGCCAGGGAACGTGAGTTGCGAGCGCAGGGGCGCGTTCCACTAGATGGCACCCGGCGCCAGCATCTCATTTTTGGGTGAACAGCAGGAGAACAATGGGTGCCATGCAGGAAAGCTGAACTGAACATAACCTCCCTACACACCTCAGCCCAAGAAAATGAGAACTGCGGATCTTAGCCGGCTCCCCCTGTGAAAAATGAAAAGCACGGGCCGTTGAAAACAGAAGGCAAATGTAGCAAAGACGGTAGGGGTTTCTACGCCAAGTTTACCAAGAGGCTGTGAGAAGGCTGAAATAACAAAAAAGGAGAAATGAAATCTGTGCAGTAAATATCCCTGCATATAAATAAACCTTGGGCTTATTTTCATTTTTTTAATAAGATCCTTTGAGTCTATGTCATTGGCATATATTAGTTGTCATATAGACAGCGAAACCGTGCTGCTACTCCTTATGTGGGGAGTTTACTTCCACAAGAGCTCTCACAAAAAATGTTGCAGTCCTGCATGCACCCTGTATAAAATACCATTGGTGAACATATATGCTAAGGACGTGCCCGAACTGGCTTGTCAAACTTATGGAGAGCTTGGAATGAAATCTGGAAAATGCTGGTATGAGCCCCTTTTGACTTCAGACACAGCCTGAATCTGAGGAGCCTGCAGAACATGGCAAAAATAATTAGAAATTTCCCTTTAAAGAGCAATTTTTGCTGACAGATTAATGTCACATTATTTAAAAAGTGATGCCACAGATTAGATTAATTGGCTTCCTTATTAGTTAGCCTCAGCAGGAGTGCAGTAAGGTGGGTACAAAGCCTAAACTGCCTGGCCTTCCTGATGAGGCAGATCACAGCTGAGGATGAGGAACAGGGTAGAGAGAGCACAGGGAAAGTCACCCTGTCACAGCCTGTTTCCAGGAGCGAGTGTCTAATGAGCAGGAGGGATATTGTGGAGGGGAGTGAGTTTGTTCACCAGCAGTGCTGCTGATTTGGAGGTATGCTGAAGTGCCACTGGCACTCGTTGATGGGGTGTAAAGCTGGTGCCTATTTGCAGAAGAGGACTAATGCATGAAAACAGCTTGTAGAAATGGCAAAGGGGTTGTTGGTCAGTGCCAAAGGCTTTTGTCACTGTGTTATCATCAGGTGGAGGGCAGGGATGCTGTCTGTGGGTTGCAAATTTTGTCATCACGAAAGGACCTGGAACGTCAAACCAAACTGAACCTTGTGTTGTGTCAGTGTGCTTGGTCCTGCCCTTAACAATCTTCATCAGAGCGATATTCCTGTCTTAAATATGAAATACGTGATGAAGAGATTTTTACTGCTTCATCCAACTGAGGCTTTACTTTCAGTTGATGTATTTCATCACCTGTTACATCATGTTCACCTGCTACACCTGTCCTCTCTCTTCATGCACCACCGTAAAATATACGCAGAACTCCAAAGGAACAATAAATGCCCATATTCCAGGGAAACGGTAATGTACCACCCTTCCCACCACTCACATGCACTATGATCACCTGAAAGGTCAATGCAATTAGAATCATAGAATCATAGAATCGTTTAGGTTGGAAAGGACCTTTAAGATCATCCAGTCCAACCATTAACCTACACTACCAAATCCACACTAAACCAATCAAGGGCAGACTGGACTAAACCATGTCCCGAAGTGCCACATCTACCTGTTTTTTGAACACTTCCAAGGATGGTGACTCCACCACCTCTCTGGGCAGCCTGTTCCAATGCTTGACTACCCTTTCCATGAAGAAATTGCTACTGTACAGTATGGTTTGCAATGGCTGTATATGTACCTACAGCCTAAACCACTTTGTAAGCCATACCTGTACCAACATGAAATGCAGCAATCCTTCCAACCCTCCTCCTGCCAGTGGTTGCCTGATCCATCACTATACCATGCTGTGGGGACACCAATGCCTGGCGCACCTATGTGCCTTATGGCATCCTCTCACTTTCCAAATCTTTCCCTTATACTGGATACTTCTCCTCTGACACATCCAACGCTCCAACTGCCTGCACCACTGCTCAGCCAAACACGCAGAGCAAGGTGAAACACAGCTGAATATGCAATATAGTTGAAGCTGTGGGGAACAAGAAGCTTGTTGTCAGGGATGAAGAAAGATCATGCAGTAGTAGCAAACTGCCTGGACCACTGTATTGCTGCTTTTTAGCATTTCTAATACATACTGTGCATGATACTTCTACTTATTCCACCTTTGTTTTGTCTGGAATAGAACTGTGCTGTCAGTCAAATGCTTTTTCTCCCTGTTGCTCCCTTTCATCCCACAAACTAATTTCAGATATGATACCTGAAAGATGGAGTTTTCAAAAATTAAATAAATCCAATAAGTTCCTAAAAAAAAAAAAAAAAAGAAAAGAAAAGCAAAAAACGAAGACCAGATTGAGGCAGGGAAGGAAAGAGAGAGACTGAAGAAGTCTGAAGCGTGTCACACTGGGACACCAGAGCTTTGACATAGATGATGGTGAGAATCTCCTAATTCCCATGTTCCAACTGCACATGGAAACAACTTAACCTCGAGCTCATGATTTTTTGTGGTGAGTCAATCACAAGATCCAAGCTGTAGGGAAGCAGGCTTCACAGGCTCCAGGGCTCACAAATTTTAAAACATGCATATCTCTAATACAGAATTTTTGTACAAAGTATTGTTTCTCTGTTGCTGGGTAGAAGCCAAAGAAAGTTATTTCAGCTTCTTGTTGTTTGGGGTTTGTTTTGGTTTGGTTTTGTTTTTTCTGTGGTTTTGTGTGTGTGTGTGTGTGTGTGTGTGTGTGTGTGTGTGTATGTGCTGAGACACATCCTTGAGGAACACCTGAATGTAACTAGTATTTTTATGGGGAAAAATGCTGAGAGATGTGTTTATATCTTGCCATTGAATCTGTACTTCTCTACTGTTAAATCCACTGGTTACTGTACCAGAGAAACTGGATTGGAAAGAGGGCATGGGCCTCGAAAATGTAGGTGTTGCAATGTCTGACTTCTAGGAATTTTGCCCATAAAACATCATTCCTGTGTTAAAGAGTGAGGTCCCCTGAGGACTGCCCAGTGGGAAGGCTGCTGCTCCACTGTACACAGGCATAGCGGGAGCTGCCTACAAAGAGCAGTAGGAAACAGCGAGCACACAGGTATGGCCAGGATCCCACCTTCTCTCAGGGGCAGGCACCTGGCCCATGGATGCAGAAATCAACAGGACTTTAGGACCTGCCCCAGTGTTTTCCTAAGTCAGAGACACAGTAATCCCTTTGATACAGTGGTATGAGTGAGAGAGAGCGGACATAAGCTGAAAGGGGAGGTTCAGACTGGATATAAGGAGAAACTTTCTCCCTGTGAGGACAGTCAGGCAGTGGGACAGGTTGCCCAGCAAGGCTGCGCAGTCCCCATCCCTGCAGGTTTTCAAAACCCAACTAGATAAAGCTCTGAACTCAAAGCTCCTGCTTTCAGCAAGAAAAACCTTTCCAGCCTGAGTTATCTGGTGATCCTATGATCACCCTGTGTATAAACCAGGCAGATTTTTTTAAACTTTGCACGTTTTCCCAGCTATTGCAAGGATCCAAACCATCTACTACCTCTTTAGCCATACAGAAATGACAACTTAGTGAAGAAGCATAGCAGATACTGAAATTATATGTTTTATAACCAGAGTTCTACAGAAATGGCAGAGCACAACTATATTGTCGCTTTTTACCGTTCCCGCACAGTTATCACCAATATGATACTTAAAACATACAACCTGGCATCAGCTTCCTGGCTTTTAGCTTTGTATTTACTGAGAATGATTTGAGGAATTTTGCTGTGCAACTTATGCATTTCCACTGGTGCTATGGAAATGTCACTCTGAAACACCATGTATCATCATACGCTTACACACATCTTGTTGGAATGGTGGTGTCCCATCCTGATGAGTTCAGCCAGTCCTTAAAGTATATAAAAACCAGTACCTTTTAAGGGAAAAGCAGGTAGAAACTATGGGCTAAACTCTAGAGAAACAAGACAGGTGAGATGAGATGCAGGTAACCGGCAGCGCCACAAAGACAAAGCTGAGAAAGGAGGATTTAAAAAACTGCAACTAATCAAAGCTAAAGAAGGATCCCCTCAAGCTAACTGATGCCTATGTTAAACACTGAGCCTACCTCAGGACCTCCAGTGGATCGGGGGACCTAAATGAAGAGCAATTGTGTGATGGGAGTTTATTACTTGTAATGCTACATAACCTTTCATACTACGTGCTTTAAGTAAAGCAGTATGCTTTCATTAAGATTAGAAATGCTGTGTAAAGCCTAGGTGATGTTCTTGTTTGTTTGCACTTACCTCACACTCTCTGAAAAGATAAACTATAAACCCAAAGGCTTGTAGCTTCAGTATAATTATGAATGCATATATCTAAGCAGCATTGGGATCCTGGGAACAGACTACTGGTCTATCTGCCTTCAGATGAGATGCTAGAAGGAGCATTTGTACCAAGGGAATCTGCCAGGAGACCCAAAACTGAAGGGCAATGCTTCAATTCTGACCAAATTTAAGGGACTAAAAACCCCTGGATAGATCCTCTGACAGTGCTCTGGTGAGTGGCCAGCCACGGCTCCCAGCCAGACACCAACACATCTATATTCTAGCCAAAAACTTGAAAACTGGAATATGAAATTCATGTAGTCTGACTCTCCGGGGAAGCTGAGTACTTCTGTTTCCAGACTATGTCATCTTTTGTACAACATACAGCTCAGTGGATGCTGCAGCTGAATGCCAGACCATTGCAAAGGGCTGTCACAGGAAACCATTTGTCACAATACACATTATTTTGCAGAATTCTTAATGGCTGAGTTTTAAAATGAAGACATTGAAAAATTGCTTACCCATGAGGTATTTTGCTGAGGACATAGTATGCCGTATATGAATGCTGATACACCTGCAAAATGAAATTAAGAAACAAAACAAAACAAAAAAGAGATTAGTAATTGTCACCTGTGTTAATAGGGCTCTTTTTCTGCAAAACCATCTAGCATTTAGGGCTAGGGAGCTCTTATATACACTTCAAAATCTGTAGTAGAAAAGAACAATACATTCATTCACCTAACACTGTTGTGTGTTCTATCTTGCACTTTATTACAGTGTTTGGCAAATCGTATACATCCAGATGCTCTGTGTCGTTACCATGACTACCAGGTCTTTGATTAAACTGAGGGCACATGGTCTCTGCAAGGGCTAAATATAGAACAATCATTAATGAGGACACCTTGGTCAGCTGGAGACATTCTCCATCATTATAACTAGACACAACAGGGATACAATGCATAATTTTTTTCTTTATTCCTACATAAATGAAAGGAGTGATGCTGGGTGATCTCAGAGTAGGTTGTAAGACTCCTGTCAGTCAGCAAATAAAACCTTATTGACTTAGGGCATAAAGCTGACCTCACGTTTGTTTGACCTGCTAAGTTGCATCTTCCTATCAGTTGGTACTCTTTGGGCCTTGGGGAGGAGCTTGTCAGCTTGCACGGCAGGTCATCTCAGTTAAGGGAGACTTTATTACTTACTTTCTAAGTAGTAAATAATAATACCAGAGTCAAGGTCAGTGATTTAAGAGTTGGTGATTTTCTGCTAGTGACAATGCAATCCCTAACAGTGATTTGTGGTTGCCCAAGGTGAGCAATGCTGAGAAACACAAGAGTCAGGGCACTAGTGTGAAAGGTCTATTTATACACATTTTTACAGGCACTCACTGTTGCAATTCTGGCCTATTACTGTATGCTACTAAATAAATAAATAAGTCTCCTAACAATAATTTTGTTTGACTTCTACTTAAATCTTTAAGCCACTTGCTCTCCAGTAGCTCTCATAAAGCATCCTGTCCCAGAGGACAAAGGAGGAACTTCTTGAATACTTGCTTCACCAATCAAGTTTGTCTGATCAAAATTATTTTTCCTAGATGCCTCTGGTTTTGCATAATTATTTTTTTTTACTCATGCCAAGAAACCATGGTATGTCCTGGATGGCGTTGCCAGACTCGGCAGTGGCCATCCCAAGCACATTGCTAGCATCGCAGACAAGTAAGCATGACTTACTATCTATCACTCTCGAGGACAAGCCTGCACAGTGGCATATATAACAGGCTTACATCTTTTGGGGGCTCAGTAGAGAGGCAGAAAAACACAAGGCACATCATTCTGTAGATATTAAAACAAACTTCTCTGTTACAGTTTGAATCCAAACACTAAATCCTTACACTACTTCGTGAACCCTCTGAAAAAAAGCTACCACCAGAGTATAGAGGTGGAAGCACTGGATTTCTACCTATGAAATGCAGAGACTGATGCGAGATTGATGTGATACCCTTCTTCCCCTGTGCAATTCACTCCCTTCATTACGAGGACATCATCAGGTTACATCCCAAAATCATATCTCCTTTTAGGCATTCAGATACATAAAGAATCCTCCAGCAAGGTGAGTCTCTGGTATATTGATATCAGGGAAGGTCTAGGAACACAAGCAAATTCACTTCAAGCTAGCATTTATTTTAGTACAGGTGTCCTTTTTAGAACCACCTGTTTCAGATGATGTCAAATAAACTACCATTATCTCATCTACACCCAACCATATCAAAGAGGTCTTGAATCTTATAATGCTGATACTGGAGACCTGGCTGATGCATGTGGCCTTAGATTTTATTCCAGCTTTGGTAAAGTTCTAAAACTGCTACAATTCCTTAAAGAAAATGCACTGGAAGACTAAATTTGTCTACAGAGCTGAAAAAACTAATAATACATTACCATTAAATACTGAGCACTTTTTGTCTACAAATATTCTGGCAGTAGGATGTAGAAAATGATGTAGATATATAAACTGTGATCTGAGGCAAGGACTGGTGTTCAAAGTAACAAGCCTACCAGAAGCAGAGTCAGAAGCCAGCCCCCCAAATGAGTATGAGCAGACCCCTTCAGAGCAAAATAGAGAAATGTGGCAGGCTGGAAGGAAAAGAAACAGCCAGGGAAGTTTTGAGCAGGACATCTGCTGATGTCCCTGCTTGTGGTACAGAGTTCCCACAGCCATGCTAGAGAGTTTAGAGCTGTCTTAGAGCCATTAATGGAGACTGAGGTAAAACATTTTCTTTGCTGAAAGAGTTTAGGAGTGGGGAAAACAGAAGTTGTGGGACTCTCAAAGAACTCCTTTATTTTCTGAACATCATTTGTCATCCTCTTGGCTCTTTGGCCAGACTAAAATATCTCACACCAGCTGTGCCTGTAGCATGTAGTCTTCAAAGGCTTGCAGCTGGCAGAGTTCATTCACAGGAGCAATCCTTTCTCTAATAAATCCTTAAAATCAGTAGGTTTGCTCACATAAACAACAACTACTTGTATGGCAAAGATTTCAGGATCAGACATTTATTATTATTATAATTTTTAAGGACCAGGCTGCATGCAGCTCAAAAGTCCTTCTCATTCCTACTATTTTAAACCTGTTTGGAAAACACACTGCAAGCAACCCTCCTAAGCAGACAGGAATCCAAGAGAAACATCACTTAATGTCTTTCTGAGAAATTAAATGGCTGCTTTCCTCTTAGATATGCAAATCAAATGAAGCTATTTTAACTTTTTGAGAGGATGACTATGTCTGCTTAATATCTCAACTAAAATTTCTGCTGGGGTCAAGCTGAATTAGACTATTCACTTACCAGTAGGAAAACCTCACACCAGGGAAAAGTGCAGGGAAGAGCTGAGCATTCTTCTGAAATCCAAAGCTAAGGCTCAGAGACTGGACAGTGCTTAAAAGTTAGCATTCATTTCATTTAAACTCTCTGTTTCTGAGGCTTAGCCAACAAAAATAACTGTATTAACTCTCTGTGTTCCCCTTCTCTATCCAAGGGTTGTGGTAAAAGCCATTGCACTGATTTGATGCTCTTAGCCCTGATGTTTGGCTGGATCCCAGAAGCACACAGCTCCTCTCAGTAGAGAGGCATATTTGAAGGTAGCACAGTTTTTGGCAACCGTTTTGCTCTGTAGACCCTGTGTGCCAAGTCATCCTGCCAACGTAAGTTAGAACAGGTTTGAGACCGCTCTGAAGGGTTCTAGGTATTACCATAACTGTGTCACAAAAGTTCCCATGCCAGCTGTGTACCAATGAGCGCTGTAAAAGTCATTATGCTAAAACCACTGTGCCAGAAACACTCTCCCACTGGGCTTCTCATCCCAGGTCACAGCACAGATCTTGCTTACTTTCAATCTACATTATGCTCTGCAACATGTGTAGGTTTACACTGAAATCATAATTGGTCTAAGAGATGGATTTATCTGTTTCCACTTAAGTCTTGGAAAGGCAATTATCTCTCTAAAATTCAGAAAAATACAGGACTAATTATATATGACAAGACTTTGCTGTGAAGCCACTGACCTCATTGTATGTAATCAACAAAAGAAACCTGGACCTGACCAGATGACAGTGGAAATGCAAACACTGCAGCACACATAGGAGCAGAGAAGAGTATCTGCCTCTCCCCTGCCACCAAATTCCAAAATAAGAAGTAAATTGTGGTTCCTACACGATATAGAAACAAAATGGAAGAAGCAATTTCTGTGCCACATCACTGCAGAGCAAAGTATGGTGTGAATGGTAGAGTAAAGCCTTCTTGAAAGCACTTGCTTCATCTCCAAGGATACAAGTCCTAGTCCAGCAGGGCTTACTTAAACAGAAAATATACGTTAATGAAGAACAGAATGAATTTGGACTCATTCATTCATTGAGACTATTCATATACTTTAAATTGGAATCCATAGTTCTTGTTCTTGCCCCAAAACAACTGCACAAATACCTGACATAAGTCCAAAAAGACAGGCAGAATCCTTACCTTACCTCCTGACATTACACCTGGTTTGTCACACAGACACAAGCTGGATACACAGAGCCTTTGCCTTCATTAACTTCTTGTTAAAAGTTTGAAATTGTCACCTTTATTTTCAGTTTGGCACTGCCCATGCAACTCACAAAGGATTAGGAAAAGGTTTTAGAGGGAAATTAGGGAATTTTTAGAAGGAGATTGTGAAATGTGTTTTCAGCATATTTTAGCTGGTATGAAAGATTACACTGCTGCTAAAGATTTATCACTAGCATCACAAAAAAAGGAAGAGTTTAGTTTACACTTCCATCTTCTGTGCCAGTTTCTGTCACACTGTGGGCTCACACCATGCTCATACCAGCAGTAATCAGCATTTATTGAAAGGCTTTCTTTTATGTTCATATGACAAGGTGCTGAATCAATACAAACAAGAGGCACACATAGACTTTCCTTCAAGGAGGTTTATAAGCGAAGAGGGGAGTAAAAAGCCCTTATTGGAAGTGTCCCCAAATCAGCCCAATCCCCTCATCTTCCAACAGGCTGTTCTATCAAAACAGCTAATTTAGGGTGTTACCACTCAGCATATTAAACAGTTCACAGATCTGAGATTAAACCCAGGTGGACTGGTTGTCACGGTCTCATGATTATTACTTACTTGACAAATACGGGAATAAAACATCCTTTGCATCCATTTTCCAAATGACTCCATAGAGCCACCTGGTCCTTCATGCAGTAGTGTTATTTACATTAAAGAATTACCTAGAAAACTCACAAAAAATCCCATAAAACTTAGAGTTTGAAAGGGAACAGCTACAAGGCAGAGTAGAAGTGCAAGCTGTGTTATAAAGCAGTTTGCAAGGCTTAATACAAAATTTCTAGTATTTAGTGTCTTTCTTCTTTTTCAGGAATCACACATTTCATCCAAAAAGTCACCCCAGCAACCCCAAGTAAAAATGAACACTCTAAACAGTCCTTGGAAATAAAACTGTACAACGGTTGGTCAAGGTTTGAAAATGGCAAGAATATATTTTAATGTAATGAATCATAAACCACTCAGTAGTTATCTGGTTAAAAGGAAT